TGAGCCGGCCTCGGACAGCCCTATGTTCTGTGGAGGTACCTACTGAAGAAGTAAATGCATTTGCTCCTGTCTAAAAATACCTTTCCTCACGCTCCATTTGGTATCTTCTTGATTTTTACAGTTACAAACACCTCAGGTTTGTTTCCTTGGTTATGCTTTCAGGGTATGTCCTTGTTGAGGGCTAAGTTTTATTCCCAATGGCTATAATCAAATACACAAATTAAGAGCTCAAGATTTTAATTTCAATGTTATATGGCTTAATTATGGTTCTGTTGCATTAATTCTAGTAATCTTTTAAAAATATGCAATCACAAATTGGTGGGGAGGAATGGAGATTTTTTGGTAGATCTAAGTGTGTAGGGCAATGAGGACCTGACAAACAGCAACTTTTTCTGGAAAGGATTTTTTCCATTTTTCAAAATTTTGTGTGGAAGAAGAAAGATTGAATGCTGCTTCCACTGAAAAAAAGAGTGTTATCAAATTAGAACTAAATTAAAGAAATCTACATAGTTGACTTAGGTAATTAGTACTGATACAATTTTTGTATCACCTGACACACAAGCTCTACTGAAATGCTTGGTTTGAACAAAAGAAATATAGAGAACTACTGCTCAGACTGACTATTTTTGTAGTTAATGTTGTCTTCTTTTTTAACAGGAACCTTTACTTACCAAAATGAGGCACAATCTGGTGTATCAGACACCTCTCACTGTCACTGTTTATAGAAAATTGAGTGCATCCAGATCACATCAGCGAAAAAAACTTATTAGACTAACGCGGTCTACTTCTAAAGACCGTGAAGAAAATTGTGAAAAAGACATTCCTAGTGCTAAATATAAATGTCAAAAGGGACCGTGTCTAGTCATTCAGCGTCAAGAAATGACAGCTTTCTTTAAATTATTTGGTAGGTTAATAATGACAGATAGCAATGTATTGACTGAAGAGTAGAAAACTGTTAAGCAAGTATGTTTTCTAAACTCATTAATTTTGGGAGTGCTTTTTGTATAGATACTAATGGCCATGTCTTTGTCTAAATGTGTTTTGTTATTATATTTTAGTGTATAAATATTTAATGCTTAAGTTTAAAAATACAAGAAGGGCTACGAAACTGATGGAAAGTATCTTTTAAAATTACAAATGAAACCAAGGTGATATAGTACTTCCTTTTATGATCATTCGCCTTTCTTTTCTGTTTTCTCTTATATTTCAACAAATACATGTAAAAAAATGTACATCTTGTTTTACACAAGGCTTTAAAAAGGCTGGACTCCCAGTCTCAAACATATTATTTATTGTGGGAATAAACATTTAGGGGGAGAAGTGGAATGGGAAGGAAATCTAAGGAGTTGTAGCATCCCTTTTGCCTTTGTGTCTCTTTCATATAAAGTTTTGTGTGTGTTTAATTTAGTGAAGAGATTAAGTAATAGTGGAAGATTACACTTGGCTTTTATTTGAACCTTGAACACAGAAGTGAATCAGAGAAAGTTTGCGGTAATCCTATTACAGTACCTCTTCATAGACAGTGATGCGCTGACCACAAATAATCAAGCAAGTATTGTCTTATAAATTGTCAGGTAATCAAGGTGCAGAGATCTCAACAGGTTCATCAGAAATAATGGTATGGTATTAGATGGAACCACTTAACCCAGGAAGAAGTTAGATAAATAGAAAAAATACTGGTGATTTTTTCACCTTCACTTGCTATTATTGAGAATGAATGAAATGCAGTCACTAGATTTTCCACCTTGCCTTTCTGGTAGTTTGTCTTTTGTCGCTTAATTTTTTTCATACCTCGTCTCTTTCTCTCCTCAGTTTCTCTGTTCTCTACTGCTGGGTCTAGCTTAGAGTCATAGAATGCTTTGGGTTGGACAGGACCTTTAAGGGTCATCTAGTCCAAGTCTGTTTCCTCTTATTTGTTTTAATAAAAAGACCATCTGTTATTTATTTACAAACACTAACAAAAACAATTTTGGTGTTTGAAACGCTACAGCTTTCTTTTGTTGCAGATGATGATCTAATCCAAGACTTCCTTTGGATGGACTGTTGCTGTAAAATTGCAGACAAAGTAAGTGTATTTCCTTCTTAGTTAATAGAACATATGTTGAGTGAAAAATCTGCTTTTAATCACTTGATACTGTAATGCAAATACAGACTATAATTTTTTTTCTAATGTGTTCATATGGATGCTTCAAGGAACTCAATTTATGCTTTCCTTATTGATAAAAATCATCAAAATATCTTGGTGCAAAGATAAATGTGCAAAGCATCTTAGGAAATTATATACTGAAATAATATATTGATACTTCATTTTACATTTTAAAACAGTATCTTTTGGCAATGACTTTCGTATATTTCAAGAGGGCTAACTTCACAATAAATGAGCATACCAGAATCAATTTCTTTGTCGCTCTGTAAGTACTTTTAAGTTATCTGGTTTTATTAGCATAAACTTTGCATTATTTTATTCCTTTGTTTATGCCACTGATAATTATGATATATGATGATACTTCTTTAATGAGTTTGTAGTTGTTTGGGTTCTATATGAAGTATAGAAACATAATCTACATATTATATATAAATAGTGCAAATTCAACATTCTTCCTCTGATGACCACCTGTGTGGAACAAGCTCAAGCAGCAATGAGGGGACATTTGCATTGGCGTTGTGATACATAGCATGGCATTCTGCCACCAAACTGTAAATCTCTGAACTTTTTTAAGCATTACAAGAAATATATGCAGGACAATACATGGCAACATATATATTGCTCGCACTTCCTGTTATAAGACCCTATTTTATATCTTTGCCAGCCTTAAGTAATTTGTACTGAAATGTTTCATCACGATATGCACCTTGGGAGTAATTGCTGGACTTGATCTTTGAGGTCTCTTCCAACCATAATGATTCTATGATTCTAATTTTTTTTATTAAAGCTCCTGTCAACATGATTTAAGTCAACTGTAAAAATGTTGCTAGAGAACTTCTGAGAATTTTTTTGAACGGTTCTAAAGTTTCTATACTTTGAAACAGAGCTGCAGCCAGTAATCTGTCTTTCCCAAGCCTATATAATATCTGTATTTGGCCATACCTACACAGTGATTCAGCATTTTCTTTCATAGTGTTATGGTGCTCAGGACATCTTTTTCTGTAACAGCACTTCTCAGACGCTCTGATTTGCGTACTAGTGTGGGGAGAAAGATGGCCGTTTCTCCTACTGTAAACGGTATTCTGGGTTGCATCCATACAGCATGAGCAGGAAGCCCTCTGACTCCTCACTGAAGGGAGAAAAGCCAGGCTAGAAGAATGAGAGGATTAGAAGGGGACAAAGAGTTTGGTGAGACTAGGACTAGAGGGAATATTGGGGTTAGGAACAAGTGAGAAAATCAGGGAGAAGACTAAAAGTCATAATTTTTTCAGGTATGATTTACAGGAGTTTAGTATCAGGTGGATCCAGAGCAAGTAAATATTTTCCTGTTGTCTGAGAAGACGACCCAGAACCACAAGTAGCACATAGTGAAGGAAGGGACAAATATGGACATTAAAAAGGTCATTTAAGGTTTTCATTTATACATGAAGGTAGACCTGTATTTAGTTCTTTGCTGCTAATTTAATGTGAGCAACATAATTTATCCAAGAACGGCTAAAATCCATAAAGTAGAAAATGTAAAGTGTAAGATTTCATGATAGTTTTAAGCTTTATTTAGAGAATCATTCAGAAACTGTTTATTTTAGTGCAAGGATATATTGCCAGTTTGGAGAAGGCTGTCAGAATATGTTAGTTCTTGCATTATCTAGTAATTTAGGAGACTCTAGGGTAAAGCAATTTTTATAATAGCTTAAGTTTTTATTTACCCAAAGGATACATATGGAACTTTCTGATTAAGAAAATACTGTACACCAGAGAGAAGGCTATATTTTGTTAGCAGTTTTTTTCACAGTACTAGGAAAAATAACTACTTCAATATTATGTCTTTTCATGTTAGAAATCATACAAATGCAGCAATTTTAAGATTGAACATTTACAGACATGAACATACATGTATCTATATATTTGAAGGTATCTGGCAAATACAGTTGAAGAAGACGATGACGAATCAAAGTATGAAATTTTCCCATGGGCTTTGGGAAAATCCTGGAGAAAGCTCTTCCCTGATTTCTTAAAGTTAAGAGATCAACTATGGAGTAGAATTGACTACAGGGCTATTGTAAGCAGACGCTGCTGTGAAGAGGTAGGGGGAGTTTAGATATTGTAGATGCTCAAACTACAACAATTAATAGCAGCTAACAGTCTAGCTCTATACAAATAATTTCTTCCCTAAAGTGCGTAGACAAGCCCTGGGAAAGAAAAGTTGCAGCTAAAATGTAATGGCCCATTTATCCTCCATGAACATTTTTTTCTTCTGTATTTACATTCTTTAAAACTATGTTTTTAAGGTAAACGAGAATATTTTACATTGCACTACTGTTAAAAGTGAAGTTGTTATTGACTAGAATCTTTCTGTTTTATGCAAATATTTTTATTTAAAATTTACCATTGCTTGTTTCACTTCATTCACTTTAGAAATAATTCTCTATGTGCATTTGCTTTACAAATTATAAGTTTGTACACACGTAAAACTTTCAAATCAAAATCCCAGCACCTCAGGTGAAATTTTAATCCCTTCAAAATTAATAATATAACTTCATTTGACTTTTTAAGGTAAGAGTTTTTAATTGCATTAAAAAAAAATCAGAAGGACACACTTTTAACATTCTCCACTATTAATGCAGTGTTACAACCTACAGTTTTCAAACATATTAGGTGGGGAGAAAAGACATTCTTCACTCATCAGGTGGAATGTATCTGTCTGGAAAAGCTCTGTCATGTTCTAAGAACGTAATGTTTACTACAGCTGGTGGAAAAGAAAATGTCATTTGCTCTAGAATCCCATTTCTGGGGATGGGATCGGGTGCTTATGGGAAAAGTACGAGCAACAAGGCAAGCATTGAATGTTTTTCCCAGTATATCCTCCCAGCTTCCAACAGTCACTAGTTCAGTGACGTTGTGAACCAGAAGATACATCTAGTTTACGTTTAGTAGTTAGTAAAAGACACCATCTTCAGTCCAACATACAAAGCACAAGCTGGTCTTTGTGAGGATTCACATGAACATACAAGGCTGCAAACTGTTGTTTCCACATCTGGTTCACTTACTTGTGTCTCAGGTAGCAAACTTTCTAGTGAGACAGAAGCGGATAGATCATAGACCATACCCATTTCAGCTATGTAGTTCTAATTCTCTGCCATACATGAACTAGATCCCTTGTTTTCAGCTGTACATTTTCATGTTATTTTTACGGTCTCTGAGGTAACGGCTGTTCTGATAGGTGATGGCTATTGCTCCAACACATTACATATGGCAACGGGAACGTCCTGTGCAGCACAGCGGAGCTGTGAGAAACTACAACAATAATGTACAGGTACCTCGACGACCTAGTGCTACTCCTACAGACTGCCTGATTTGTGGTAAGAAAGGAAGATTTGTACAAGGATTATCATCGTCTTCCTCCTCATCTACTGGCACTTTGGAGATTAAGAAATTACATTCATCCCTGAATCTGAATGACAGCTTTCCAACTGAAGAAATGCTCATTGACTCTGCTTTTTGTGATGCCCAAGGTATGGTTTAATATTGCAAATAATTTTCAATTAGTTTAGGCAACTGATTTAAGCAACAATTTGCCCTTCAGAGTGCTGTAGGGACTACTGTGTCCTCCTGGTATGACAAGACGTGATCTCTCTGTCTGTGCAGACATCCCTATTACAAATGCAGTTACCTTGCCAGAACTGTGCTTTTCCTGCCATGGTTTCATTTTCACATCCTGTCTCTTGACCTCCTGCAAGTACCAACTGCTTTATATTCTGAGGCTCTTCAAATTACCTTCATCTACTACAGTACATTTTGGGTTGCCTTCCAGTCTATTTAGGCATTTATTACTATTCTTGCATTGTAAATTAAATTGAGAATCCTATTTTAAATTCTTAGGATTGGCTAGAAGAAACAGTAAAAATACTGGCGTGTGTCGTGAGTTAAAGTGCTCTTGTTGAGAGCACTCTTTTTAGAAAGGGCAGGCTGCTCCATCGCTGCTGTTAGTTTGAACATACACTTACATTAAATCACAATTCACATTTTCCTTTATCCCAGCTGTTGACAAGAGTTTACACAAGATTTCCTTTGCAAGTAGAAAACAATACAAGAGTTTATTGGGATCCTTCAACTTTGACAAATTTGGCATTTGAATCTTCCTTGAGATACAGAACAAGTCAGGTGTCTACAACATGTAATTTATTAAATTTAATGTGGTAAACATCCTCACATGCTTATGTGGAGACTTACATGAGACCCTAAGACTTAATTTTAAATCTATTTTTACTTGAGAGATCTTGCTTTTCATATCTGACAAAGGTCAGAAAAAATTGTGTTTGAGTTTTTGAGAATGCTTTACATATAGTGAAGTTCAGAAATAACCAGGCAACTTTCAGCATGGGTGCTGGAAGTGTACCAAAGCGATACATGTCAACAACTGGCCTTTTCCTTGAAATAAGCACAGCCTTATGAAAAGAACAAATGCAGTGAATTTCAGTTTCTCTTACAGTTGTGCTTTAAGAATATGGTTCTTAAAGGAACTGATAGACACCACTTGGTAGCCAGAGAAGTCAGAAGCTGCTTCGCTTACACTTCAAAGGGCAGACTTTTATCCATTGTTTTCTTACTTAATGTTTTTCTCCCTATTTCTAGTAGACAGCCAGAGCCTGTGCTGCAGAAGGAGACCAGGCAGCACCTTGAACCAAGACAAATCCATGGACTGGTTCACAAGCAATAAAGAATGAAATAGACCCGATGAGACAGAAACAGATAGCATGCTCTGTGGAACAGTCTGTATTGCACCACAGCATACCTGATGATTCCATTAAAACTTCTCTCTTCAAATAGTAGGTAGGATTTCAAACTTTGTATGCAGTAGGAATCAAAGCAGTCGTTACTTAAAAGTTACACAACTTGCAAAACATACCAGCTATTTTGTAACATTTTATTTTATTCTGATAGAATTCTCAAATTGGTAGCTAACATCTCGCAGCATCAAGAATGCGGTGGTCGAAACTTTCTCAGCTTGGTAAGGAATGCTAATTAAAAACCAAAACATGTTAGTACTTCAGTATTTCAATATACAATGATTCTTTTATTACTATAAGTTTTATGATTTCATAATATAGTTACAGGTCAAATGGTAGTACAAAAAATAGTATTTTTGAAAATAAAATATCACTAAACATTTAAGATAAACAAAAAACATTTTTCAAGTGTCTCACCTGAATGAGCATCCTGCCAGTAAGCTGGTCTAGCAATGTAAGGCACCGACCAGTATGTTTCAGCACCATCAGAAAGTGATTCTGTGAGAAGTAAATTTTTTAAAATTCTTTCCAACAAATTTAAAACATACACACAGACTAGAGTTGCCGATGTTGCATGGATTATTTTTCCCCTGACATATTTTCATTTGCTTTTTGCTTCTGTTGAAGTGTTTTGTTGTCACCTATCAGTACATTCAGACCTCTTTGCTCTACTGTGGATTTTGCAAATCTATACTATTACAAGGCATCTTCTGGGGATTTGCCAGAACAGGATTATTACAAAACAAAGCACACTGCTAACATTTCTTCTATGGGATCCTTAAACCCATCAGGGTCCTCTAAAGCAGCTACAGGACGAGTATAAAGGACTGAATTTTATTGAAAAACAAAAATGTGAAAACAGTAGTAGAAGGGCAGTTATTCTTTATTTGCAGATTGCAATTTATTTTCTATTTAGTCTAGATTTTTAATGAGATATTTAAACTTAAATAACCATTAATATATCCTTTTTCAAGACAAGGTTTAGGCTATCCAAAAGCCTGTCTATTCTTCACAACAATCTCAGCTGACCTAAGAAAAAAAATACTGCCTCTTCCTACAAACTTTGCCTTCATTATATTGCATTAGCAATAATGTTCTTACCATTGTATTCACTTTCTTTAAGAACCATTTGATCCTGAATGTGGATTTCTTCATATTTGTTTTGAAGTGGTTCTTGAATATTTTCTTGAGTTTCCACCATTTGGCTTGATTTGCAATTCTTCATTTTAGCAGGGAGTACCAACCAATTTCTGTGAGTTACCTCAATGATCCTTTCACACACAAAAGGGAGCTTGCAGGTCCGTATTCTGTCTAAAAGGTCAATAACCTGGGTGATGCTTTTAAAGAAATGCAAAGGATAAAGTAGTATTTTGAAAACTCCAATCATACCCTGTTAGTCTCAATTCTACTGCCTTTGTCACATTCTTCACCTTTGAGGTTACACAAGTCCTTCAATTTTAGGGTAAAGCAGCTAGGAACCTGACTACTGAATTGGAAAACAGTACAGTTATTCTGAGGATGTCATTAAGTGAGTAACTTTCACTGACCGTAGTGAGAACGTTCCCAAAGTAAAGGCCAAAGGATTTGGCCAGGTGTAATTTATACTGAGTGTAACTCTCTAAAAAAAGAAATTACATGGGAGGTTGGAATAATTTGTTAAACATTTCATTAATGCTGCATGTATATTTTAAAAGATGTTTGGTTTTGTAACAATGTTAGGTGATGCCTGAAAAAAATGTGTGTCAGAAGACAAGACTTACTTTGCTAAATAGACAGCGCACACACCACCCTGTTTCAGACTTGGGTGTACAACAGGCAGAGCAGACTGAGGGTTAAGCATATCCAGAACTATCTGCAAGAGAAAGATATGTATGTTTTCCCAGTAAATATTAATATACATATATCAACTTTTTCCCATAACAATGCTTGAAAAAACAATATTTATGGAAAACGAATGCATACAACAGCGGTAAGTAATCACAAACCAGTTTTATCACTGCCTCTCAAAACCTTAGAGAAACCTGAGGTCCACCCATTTACAAAACAAAGTCCTTGCTACTTTCAAATGAAGCTCTATTAAAAGAGCAAGTACCATTTCACCAATGCAGTAGTCCTGTGTTAACGTTAAACCTCCTATTAATTAAACTCCGTAATGTTGACAACAATAAAAACTTTTAGAAGACTACATTTACTAACACCTTTGGATGTTTTCAAATGTAAAGAAGTAAGTGTTCAAGTCCTTTCTTATCCTGACAAGTTCACACAACAGTCTCAATGTCTAACTTGCTGTTTGTTTCAAGATTGAGAAAACTTCTGTCTTTGCCAATTTATCCATCTTCTCCTAGAAAACTATTCCAACTGTAAAACAATGGGATATGCAGTATCTGATCCTTCCTGTGGACCGTTACATGTAAGGTTTTAAAAATGATATTTTTATGCTATATTATTTCTTTGCTCAAACTGTTTAACACAATTTTTGTTTAAAGTGTTAATCTACGTAGTTTGTCTGCTTTCTGTGGAAGAGTGATTAACACCTAGCTGTTCTCCCCAGCACACCTCCCTTTACAAAACCTGGATATAAAAAGCAGGACAGGAGAGCAAGCAATAGCATTCCTTACTCTAACTTAGGCCTTAGTTACATTGTGCATTCTATGTAGCTGAAAGCAAAGTGTTTAACTGTTTATATTTTCAATAAGCGTATGTATTTTTCTTAAATTTAATGTTTGAAATATATGCCTTAGATACAAAAATATCCTTTTCTCTAAAACACAAGAAAGTAAGCTTGTCTTCGCTTACAAGACAGCAGTGACTAATTGTAGTATTTCTGTACTACAGCCACATCGCTTTTTCATTTGGGAAACTGTAACTGAAACCTTGAAAATACCTGTAATCTGAAAAAAATAAATCACAATGTTTCTTTCATTGATGAGGATCTGATTGCTTTTTCTCATGTTAAACTAGATATGGGAATCCCACTGTGAGTGTGAGTACTAGAGGTTTTAATTTATGCAGAAAAGATAAATGTCAAAGGGGGGGATTTTTTTGAACTTACTGCATCAAGTGCTATAGATTTCATATCCGCAGCAGCTGTTGAAATGTCTTTAAGAATGAAATCCACATTATCTGGCCACTCTTCTGTATGTCCTATTTCCCATGCAGCACGCCAGTGCCTGTAATTCTTCTTAGCTAAATTATGATGATCATCTCTGACTTCATAACTTAGAACATGTCCCTTGGGCCCAACTGAAAACAAACAAAAGATACTAGACTTACTACTTTCCCCTTCTGTAACAATGAATTAAGAAAACAGTAGCATAGTAAGTGACAGAAGTACACCTCTCAATCTCAGCTTCACTTTAGGAAATAATCACATATGAAACAATCAATTAGACTTTATTTTTTCTTTACATTTAAAACAAACATGCAGATAAAGCACTGGGTTAGTTGTTTTACAGACTGAAATCCATCAATCCACAGATGAAATAAAGCATAGTTACAGCAGTACAAACCATTCCTAAGATGTCCTCCCCAGGTAACTCCTGCAGCAAAAGATGACTTCAGCATCTGTGGCCCTATCAATCTATGAATCTTGTGCCACAGCTACCAGAGGTACCTGCCAAGAAAGCTGCAACGCTGGTCACCACTCACAGATGGCATAAAGCCGACAGACAGTGACTGTGCTTCTCTTGTTAACAAGATTTGAGACTGCTAGTTTTAAATTTTTTTACAATCCTCATTTTTACAAAGGTTTGCTGTTTTCCATGCATAGTTCTTTCTCCGCCTGTCCCTTCTTAGGGTTGGGGAAAGGCTAAGAAAACCCTCACACCTGCTCACTGATCTCAGCCCCTTAGACAAGTTCTCAAGTGTACTCTATGCTTTACACAAGCTTGTGTTATCTTCCTATTGCCATCTGTAAAAGTAATAAATTGTTCTATTACTTAAGTATAAATTTACTATCCTGAAATGTACCATTTGAGTCCAATACACAATGTTCTTCATAAATGAAGTGTTATGAGGAAATCCAGGCACAGACAGCAGCACGTGCATTGCTGTATTATTCTATCCTTCTATTACTCTAATTTCTCAAACCTATCACACCATTAGCTTCTCTTTCTCCTTTCTACTTTTTCATGGGCAAAGACAGCTTTCAGCAATCAGCAGCTCAGCAGGTGAGGTTCTGTGACTTTTGAAGCCATTTTAGGTTGGAGTCACCAGGCTCCTTCCCTCACCTTTGTGCTCCCCCTGTGAATCCATTCAGAAAACAGAATAAAAGGGATGGGTTTCCCAGCAATCTCTCCCTGATTTCGCTCACCCTGGATCAGACAGAGGCCAGAGCCAACACGCAAGGAAGAAGGGTTTTGGCAGCATCGCCTTTGATCATCTTCAGCAGTTGTAGAACTGCAGCACCAACTCCTTATTACTCAAGATTATCAGTTTGGAACTATTGGAAGAATAAAATTGCTCACATTGAGGTCAGTCTTATTCCTTCCTCTGCTTGTTCCAAAAATTTCCAACATTTTGAAACTGACTTCTGGAAAAATAAGGACAACTGGTTAAAATAGCTAGGCAAAACTCTTCAGTATTGTAAAGGTGCAGTATGTCAAGTCTGCACACATCCTATTTTCCAGTTGTCAAAGATCTTAAAGTCATGGCAAGAGCCACATTCTTAACACAGTCTTAACTTTGTCCTGTCCTGTCGCATGTCAGCAGTTTCTGGGAAAGATTAAAGGAGGAATGGAAAATAAAACATAAAATGAGAGTAACAGGAAGAGAGGAGATTAATGAAATCTGTTAAATCAATGAGAATCTTGGAAACTAAATACTTCCATGGACCTTGCTAATGTGTCCACTAGATTTAAATTCCAGCATTTACCTGCATAGCAACTATTTTTCTTGTTGGGTATCACTGCATTAAATGGTGGCAAAATTAGCCAGGTATGTTCGTATGAAATGGCCACAGTGGACTGAATACCCAAGGCAGAAAATAATTTGCTGTATTTAGCAAAAGCTAACTTTTGCCTTTGCCAACATCAGGTATTCAACCTTCTTCTTTGGATTTAGGGTCTGCATGTAGGGGAAGATGGGAAAAACTAATGACTCATACTTGCTGAATACTAAACTTCCTCAGAAAAACTCAGGCTTTGAACGTAAGCCTTCAGGATACCCAACTCCTGCTTTTCTGCTGCGTCAGTTCAGGACGATCCATGATGAGGTTCCTGTCTTTAGCCTCAAAAGCCCTTTAGTATTACAGAGAAGGGCAGTATTCTGCAATAGCAGAAGTGCAATAAAAAATATTTGAAAAACAAATTCAAAAGGTGCTTTATTTTTCAGGTGTGTGCAAAAGCAATTACAGCAAACAACTGTGGGTTTTTTTTTTTTCATTTTGTTTTCTTTCCTTAAGGAATTTGTTCTATCAGGAGCCCATAAATCAAATTACCCTGAAATATGGTCCACTAACAGGATGCCTACAGATGAGAGGGAGTTGAAGGGTGAGGTTTCAGCCTCACTCACATTGCTGAGTGCAAAGGCTCTCTACTTTTTAGAGCACTGAGACCTAGATCAAACCAGGGTAGCTGTAACATGAAAAAATAACAGTGTGTGTCCACATAAGCATTTTCACTGGTACCCAGCAATCTGATTATTCACATGGTCCATCAAGATGAGGAAAAGGAAACAGAGAAAGGCAAGAGATTGGGAAAGCCAAAGCTAACGGTAATGATGGCTGAAACCCAGCTTTCTGCACAGCTTTGGGTAATCCTTTGGACTATGGCCCTCGAAATACAGTCAAAACAGTTTGCAGTCCCTGCACTGACTCTGGCACGGATTTAATCTTCTTTTAAGTCAACAAACTATATATGAACACGTGAACTGCAGCAAAACTTTTAAGAACTGACCGTGAGTATTTGGTCAAAAGAAAGGCAATGTGTGATAAGGGAATTTCACTGCTTCTATGTCTTCTCAAACCAGTTTCTCACCTGCTCTCGACAGAAACAAGCTCATAGCACCAGACCCGCTGCCAGTTTCTAAAACGGTGTCTCCCGGGTGGATATCCATCATCATTAAAATAGCACTTATATCCTGCAGGTGAGAAAAACATGGCACATTACTAGTCTTGGCAACTAAGGGTGAAATTTGGCCAGTGACCTCCCGGTGAGC